TAGCCAGTCCCTGCACCCCCAAAGGACCTCCAGCGACCGGGAAGTCGCCGTGAGCGCGCCCGCAGCCCCCAGCCAGGCCTCACCCTCACTGAAGTGTGGCTGTCGGATTTACATGGATGGGGGTGGCAGGGTTTCCTCCCCGGGACATGGGCACAGCTGGGTGTGATAATCGTTACCCATGCTTGCCAGATCATGAGAAGCAGCTGGGTTTGTTAACAATACAGATTCCCGGTCGCCCTCGAATACCGTCATGTTGAGGTTCTAGGCCTCGGGGTCTGGGTTGGTTGGTTTGTTTTTTTCTCAAAAACCCTGGGGTTCGGTAAAAACCAAGGCACTGAATGGGGCCTCTGCCCTCCCATCCTACATCTTGGCCTTCAATTCACCACCATGAAGACTGAGCAGAAAGAAGCTCACCAAACCAACCCACTGCCGAGTCACAGCTAATGCCCAGTCACAGCCACCAGATTTGCATAGGGTTCCCCAGACTGTAAGTCTTACCTACTGGGGCAAACAGCCCCCTCTTCTGCCAGGGAGAGCCTGGTGGCTCTGAAAGCCCATCTTGCACCCAGCAGCCCAAACACCTAGCCCACGGCCACACCAGCGGTATTTAAAGATCCAGTGCTGGCCCCGCCCAGACCAGTAAAGCTCTCTGAACTCGATTCCCAGCTGAGCTAGATTCTCATGGGACTACCCAACCTTCGAGAAAAATCCCTCCTTCATTGTCTTCTCCTGTTTTCATCCTCTCCCAAGCCCAGGTTGTCCCAGATGGCTCCTAACAAGAGGCAAGACTTGATTAAAACCCAGGAGGATCTGCCGTTTTTAAGGGGCTGCCAGAGGTTGGGGGTGGTGGTGGTGCTGTATTGGCTTCAAGGGCACCCAGGGTAATGACCTCACAACATGTTGTAGTCAGGTGCCGTCAGGTGGCGCTGACTCAGGGTGACCTGGTGTATAAGGGAACTTGACGCTGCCCAGCACTGCCCCAGCCTCACAATCACTAAGTCTGAACCCACGGCTGCAGCAGCTGTGTCAGCGTCTCATTGAGGGTCATCGTCCGTTCGGGCTGACCATCTACCCAGGGAAAGATCGCAGGTGGCATAATGGTCAGGAGTTGGGCTGCTAACCTCAAGGCTTGAAGTTCAAAGCCACCAGCTGCTCCTCAGGAGAGAGTTGGGTCTGTCTAGTCCCACAAAGAGTTACAGCCTCAGAAACTCTGTCCTGTAGGGTCGTTGAGAGTCGGCATTGACTCGATGGCAGTGAGTTCAGTGTACCAAGCTGACGCCCTTCTCCAGGGGGACACGATCAAGGGCACTGGAGTATATGCAGAGAGGAGGGCATGACCAGTGTTGGGTGCCATGCACATTCCCACAAGGGAATTTAATTCTTATCCTGCATTTGGGCCTGAGACCCGAGAAAGGTCTCTTGGCGCCAAAGAAGGCTGTGTCCGGCAGGGTCAGCCAGTCCGTCCCAGAGAGTAACCACGTGAGCTGGTTACTTTCTCTAGTTAATAGCCTGCTCCAGGCCTTCTTATTTATGACACTGCACATCATCTGAGCGTCCCGTGCATTAGCTGCTATTCAAACCCGAGTCTCCCCATAAAGTGACTGCAGCGGACAGAGGCGAAGGAACATCTCCCCTCCCCCTGTGGCAGTGGAAGCCCTCCTACCCGCTGAAATGGCTTTTTGCAGTGTGTCCACGTGGACTGTGACTATGACCTGGGCTGTCTGTGAGGCAGACTGGACTCGATTCGAATGAAAACCCAAGCCCGCTGCCCTTGAGCCGGTTCCCACTCATCCCCATCCTGAGTAGGGTGTCTGAGGCTACACATGCTTACAGAAGCAGAGAGCCTCGTTTTTCTCCCATGGGGCTGTTGGTGAATGTGAACTGCTGACCTGGCAGTTTGCAGCCCAACTTGACCCACAGCTCCACCAGGGGTCCTTATCCAATCCTTTTCCTACCGAAGAGTATTCTACTGTGAACTCATGACTCAAGTCACGCTCATCGAGTTCATTCTGACTCATAGCGACTCTGTAGGACAGGATGGAACTGCCCCCGTGGGTTTCCCAGACTGAAACTCTTTATGGGAGTGGAAAGCCTCACCTTCCTCCCACAACCGTGGACCTAAACAAACAAACAAACAAACAAACAAACAAACAAATTAAAAACCTCACTGCCACAGAGTCAATGCCGACTCACAGGGACCCTAGAGGGCAGGGTCCACCTGCCCCGGTGGGTTTCCGAGACTCTTCATGCGGGAGTAGAAAGCCTTGTCTCTCCTCGGTGGTTTCGGACCTCAGACCTCGTGGTTAGCAGCCCAGTGCACAACCATGACACCTCAGAGCGCCTCAATCTCTGACTAGATAAGTCTAATTCCCCCTAACCCTAGACGTTGCAAAGCTTTTTTTTCTTTTTTCTTTCTTCTTCTGCAAGTAGCAGGCCAACTCCAGTCCTGAGAGAAGCAAACAAAACTGTCATTGCAGGGGAGTGGAGGAGTGGGAGGAGATGCAATCCACCCCTCGGGGGCGCTGACACCCCCATGAAGCCTTGGTGTGTCTCCACAAGAGCCAGGGTTGAGGAGGCACAGGCAGATGGTCTGCCTCTGGGGTGGGATTACTGCCTCCTGCTTCACAGGAAATGGGGCTGGTGGTGGCATTCAATACTGGATTGTTAGGTAAAGGGTATAAGGTCAGAGGCCGGGTGCTGCTCATTAAAATTTCAGAGAGATGGCTTATTGTCCCTTCCTTTGCAGAAGAAGTGACCTTTGTAGAAGCCCTTCCTGTGTGCTATTTTCTTTGAACAGCTTGGCACTCCAGTGAGCAGGGCGCGTGCACAGCTAGCTGAGGACAACGAGGACCGGCAGATGTCCCTAGGCCTGGGCTTTCCAGGCCACCCCTCCCGGCCTGGCAGGAAGTGAGGGACCCGCCGCCTTGCAGCTGGCCTGCCTGCTGCTGGAACTTCAGCCACAGGCTTGGGGCGGAGGGTGGGCACAGCTAGCTGCAAAATAAACTCACTCGGTGGTCCCTTAAGGAAGAGTCCTGGAGATCACCCGAGTCCAATTTTGGGGGGCGATTCCAACTGGGGATCCTGCCAGCCGTTTTGTCTTTGTGAAGATCCCTACTTCAAGAACCCCATGCCTTCACCGCTCTCTGCAGTGTCCATGGCGCACAGGGACAGCGTTGGAGCTGCCGTTACCTGCCCTGGAGTCCACTGCCCAAGGACTGTGGTCACCTCCAGGAGACCACCAGCCCTTTCTTCTTCACCCATCTTCATGTGGAAGCTCCGCCGAAACCTCGGCGTGGGTGGAGTGTACACTTGAAGAGTAGTGGCTGGGATGGAACCCGGGACCCTGCATGGAAGGCAAGGATGGCTAACCCACCCCTGCCTGCTCTATTGGCATCTGAGGATAAAGAAAGAACATTCCGGAGGACGGGCCACTCAGAGATGCCCTGGATCAGAAGAGACAGGGGCGATCACCAAAGCCACACCCCTCTAGCGACACTCATCTGCCACCCTGGCCCACTGACCGCAGATGTCCCCTCCTCACCCTTCTTCCACGATAGGAATTCATTACCCCAAAGAGAGTCCCCCTTTTAAAAATCATTTTATTGGGGGCTCGTACAGTACAGCTCTTATCACAATCCATACAACTATCCATTGTGTCAAGCACATTTGTACATATGTTGCCATCATCATCTTCAAAGCATTTTCTTTCTACTTGAGCCCTTGGCATCAGCTCCTCATTTTTGTCCCTTCCCTCCTTCATGAACCCTTGATAATTTATAAATGATGATTACTTTTTCATGTCTTACACCGATTGGTGTCTCACTTCACCCACTTTTCTGTTGTCCATTCTCCTGGGCGGGGGTTATATGTAAATCATTGTGACCAGTTCCCCCATCCCCCCACACATACCTTACCCTTACCCTCCCGGTATCACTCCAAGAGAGCCTCTTTCAAGGACCCCGGTGAACAAACAGCCCAGAGCAGCTTCTCCTGACTCAGCCCCAGGGCCAAACCTGCCTCCTCCCTGGTCGCTGGGACAGGTTGGCTGGAGACGGAGACACAGGGGGTTCTTGGAAGCACAAATGGACCCAGTAGTGACCAGCACTGAGGCGTACTTTCACTCAGGATAGTGAGCGGAGTCCCCTTCCCTCTCTGTGCAGGCTGAGCTGAGTGAATCTCTCTCATGAGTGAACGACGGCTGCCTCCACAGTGTGAGGGGTCAGAGATGGCCTTGTGGCTTCCTACTTGCTGCCTCTCAGATGGCTCCCCACATCCTGGGGCCACTGAGGCAGCCAGAGTCGGTCTGAGGTGAGGGACGGAGGCCTCCCCCCACCAGCCACTGGAGCCCACCATCTGGGAAAGGACGCCAACTGTCAGCCACACTGTCAGCGCCAAGGCCGAGCCAGGACACCAAACTGCACCTGGGTCCCCGACCCTCAGAAATTGCGAGATAATGAGGGTCTGTGGGTCTGAGGAGAGTTGCCAGTGTCTGTAGATATTTAGTAAAGCCAATGTGCTCTTCCCCTAGCGAGGATTTCGAGTCATTTCCATACCAAGGACACCTATTAGTACATATAATTCATCGTTCTTTTCTACACATTACTTTCCAGTGAGCCCTTGGGATCAGCTTTTTTTTTTTTTCCCTCCTTCCTCCCCACCGCCCACCCTTGTGGCCCCTTGATAGATTATAGATTGTTGTTAATTTTTTTCAAATCTCACACTGACTGCTGCCTGCCTTCCGCTCTGGTTTCTGTTGTTCTCTCCCCTGGATGGGGGTGGGTGATTACGTGCCATTCATTGCAATTGGTAGCCCCCTTCCTCCCACCTCTCCCCCCTTCCCCCTACCCTTTTGGCATCACTATCCCATTCCTGTTCCTGGGTTCCGTGTGTCGTGAGTTTTTTCTCTTGCCTATACCTATGTACATGCTCCCGTCTAGTCCGGAGTGGGAAGCGGCACTGGGGTCATGATAGAGGGGTGGGTGAGGAGCCCTCAAGGGATCAAGGTAATTGTGTGATCCATTGGTGCTCTACTGCACCCTGATTGACGCATCCCCTCCCTGTGACCCCTCTGTGGGGGGGATGTTCCACCTTCTTTACATTGACACTTTGAATATAGGTTGTAGGTAGGGTGACCCTAAGTACCAAAGCCCCACACCCACTACAGTCAAGTTGATTCTGGCTCCGAGGGACCCTCTGGGTCTGGGCGTGGCTGCTCACAGGGTTTCCCAAATGGAACATCTTCATGGAAACAGAAGGCCTTCCCTTTCTCCCTGGGAGCAGCTGGTGGGTTTGGAACACTGACCTTCCAGGTAGCCATCAGACACTAAGCTTGCCACACCACCATGTTTCCTCCCTGAGTCCCAGCTGAACGCATCAAAAGTCTGGTGTGACCATGAAGGGCTTGCTGTCCTCCGGCCGGAGGACCTGTCTTCACATGCACGTGCTGACCCAGCTCCTGTGTTTGGACACTGGGTGGGGTGAGTGACTGCGCTCTGGTGGTGGACAGTGAGCCCCCGGGGGAGCGGCCATCACCGCCAGCATGAGGCCTGCGCACAGCCTGAGGCTGGGTTCCCCGCACACTTACCCTGCCAGGCCAGCCAGCCATGCAATCATCACATCTAAACGACCACTTCCGTAGCGTGTGGCATTTTTTCACTTCCGTAGCGTGTGGCATTTTTCACCAGCTGCGCTCAGGAGCCTGCGGGGCACTTGCTGTTTGCTCTGTCTTGTGTGTTTTAGGCGGGAGATGTGACAACAGGCCACCCTCTTGCTTGGGTGGAGAAAGCAAAGGTGTTCCCACTGTCCAGGGTAGCCACTCACTTCTCAGATACCTGCTGCTGAAAAGACTGTCAGCTTCTAGCAGGAGGAAGGGGTGGGGGGTGGGGGGTGCTGCTATAGTGAGTTGGGCTGCTAACCTCTAGGTGGGCAATTGGAAACCACTGACCACTCCTAGGGAGAAAGACAAGGCTTTCTACTCCTACAGAGTTATAGTTTTAGAAACCCACAGGGGCCAGTTCTACCCTGTCCTAGTGAGTCGAGATGAGTCAG